AGAGGGGGAGTGTGAGTGCATAAGTGAATAGGTGGGGGGGCGGGGAGAGCGGCGAGAGTGAGGGCGCAGAGAGGAACATGGCCTGATGCATGCTGGGGAATAGACACGCTTTAACATTTCGGATCAGTTGTACTTCATCCTCTATCAGCATCGCTGCCATATTTTTTGACTCACCAGGATTTCGGCTGGTGGCCTGCGCAAGGGTACGCTGCATTTTCACAGGCATGGAGGGTGCGGTCTTATTTAAAAGACTCTTTCAGTTCATTCTCACTGGTATCAGCCCAGTGAATGGAAAAGCAAAGACCTCTTAGTAAAAAAAGTAAAATAAAATAAATAAAAATAAATAAAAATTTTTTAAAAAGGAAGAAAAAAAAGAGAAAAGAAAAAAAGAAAAAAAATGGAAAAAAGTTAAATTTATTTATAGAAATTCCAAAGGCAACATTTTATTTATTTTATATATTTATTTATTATATAGAGTTTATTTTTAATGAAATCTGTACAGGCCAGATAGGCATTTTGGAAGCTTTAGGCTCTGTAAGCATTAAATGGCAAAGTCTGCTATGAACCTGTGGTAAATTCATGCAAGTAAAATAATGGCGCATGGATATGAGACGTTCTAATGACCCTCAATGTACTAAAGGCGACAATCGACTATGCCCACGTTGTTGTAAACATATGCACCCCCCTCCACGACATTGATTATCCACTCTTTAGACTGCTGGTTTCATAGCCCACCCTAGAGGATTAAAGATAAACTGGGTTTCGAACATGCATTCTGTGTCTGTAATATTTCCTATCATCAATGACTTTGATTCCACTGTTGCAGCCTCACAGTCCCGGGAAGAGATAAGGGTTGGGATTCAGCCTACTTGTTTTAAATCGAGTGCAGATGATACCAAAGCTAAACAATAACTATGCTCTTATTTTCGCCAATCTCCAGAACAGTGGGATTAACACAAGACGTAAGAGAGAGAGAACTTATATGACATAGTTTTTTTTTTAAGGGCCAAGAATCAGGTTAACAGGATCATTCTGTATACTTTTATTTGTGCACTTGGTTATGAGGTACAGAATTCTACAAGTGCCGTAGTGGCCATTGTAACATCTTCTATAGGAAATTGCTTTCACTGTGAGCTGTCCTAATACATGGTAATAGCACCCTTAACGTCAAACTGACAGAATGAAACCAATAAATCTTTATTAATATTGACAACGAGAGCAGAAGGATTCTACTTGTTGACTGTGGTTTAAAAAAATTTTTTTTAATGGTCTTCATAAGTGCTCCAATTTTTTAGTGGGGAGGCTGCTATATAGAATAACTTTTACAAGGCTTTTATAACGCTTTATGCTGGAAAGCATAAGAATACATATTTATTTAGTAGCAATAATTTTGGAACTTGCCCTTGGGCAAGGAAGACATTTCTTGCTCTATATTATGGAGAAAAGAGCCAAATTCTTAAAGCAATATGTAAGACAAAGGAATTTATCAAAAATTCTCATATCACATAACACCCTTCCTAGCCCCGTTAGGTTGGGAGATGGAAAGTGACAGCTAATGAATGTGCTGGGATTTACGGCTCGAACATGGCTGTGCTCTGATGCAGGCTGTCTGGAAAAGACAAAGGTGTCACTGGCCAGTTAAGGCTGTTACGGGAGTCAAGGGCAGGACTTCTGTTCTTGAGCGTGGGGGCCTTTCATGATTTGGGGCAGCGTGCACCTCAGAGCCTCACTGCCAGTGGGCAGGGAGAAGAAACAGTATCTCATGTCTGGAATTAGAATTTTTGGGGGGTGCAGTGGAGAGGAGGGACCCAGAGAAATGTAAACGGGCTGAGTTTAGGGTAAAGTTCAGAATGCCCTCCTCATTGATCTTGTTGGGATTTTTCTTTTCTGTGTTCTGAACAGAAGCCACATTTAATTCCAGGGTGTAGGAATCTTATTTATTGTTGAACCCCTTGCTGCTGCTGAACTGTACACAGTACCGGGCTTGAGTTGTTCCAAAAGGCATTAAATACTTGTTTTATTTGGGGGCAGGGAAACATTCAACCTAGGATCACAGGGAAGAACCACACTTTTGCAGTGTTCTGTCTATGAGAGTTAGCACCGAAGAAAGCGATTTCAGGAGATAGCTAAACGTAATCATCCAGTCGTCTGGGAAGCTAGATGGTCGGCCTAAAGGAGAGGAAAACAAATAGTGCAAAGCTGGGGACATCTCCACCCATTCCTAGAAGAATGTCGTCTTTCATGTCTACTTTTGGGGTTCCTTTTTTTTTTTAAAGGAAAATGTTAGATACTTTTGGCAATTGATAACAATAAACTGTAATGGTCTGTAAATAAAGAAATACTGACTTATGCAATTTATGTACATAGGCATTCTCCCAGGAGTAGATGGCTCAGGGGCCAGTGTGGATGTTGTCCTGTGGGGCAGACACCTGGCTCTTCCTTGCCATTCACAGGCTCAGCCAGTCCTCGTCCTAAGAGTCCCCACGTCTAGTGATGCAGCCTGAGCTGTTGAGGAGCAAAGCCCCCTGGTTGTCACAGATAGATGCCCTCTCAGACAAACCATCACCGTGTTGGTGCCAACACGTGCCCTCCAGTCAGAGACTCCCTGGGTCTCCTTGACCCCTCTACCCCCTCCTCTCTGTCACAGGAGAGGCCCCGAGCAGTGTTGAAGACCATGCCAGGCTCGTGTTGGGGCCCCTCCCCTGCCAGGTCCTGTTCTGTGGCGAAATGCGTGACTTTATAGTTTATGGCGTTTCCATTCGATTTCATCTCACGAACACTATGACCTTGCGATATTTACTTGAGAATCTGTAATTGTATGTAAATACAGACAGGATTATGTAATTTGTGTAAGTACTTAATTACAGACTTTTGAAAACTGGTATTTTTTACTTGATGTCCGTTTTGAAGCTGCTGCCGATGGTGTGCCTACCTGGACCCAGGGGAGTTTGAAAAAGCACGTTCTCCTTGCGCTTCCAGCTGCTGCGTGTGTGTTGAGGGGCTGGGGCGCATGGTGGAGGGCGGACATCTATGCGGACATCTTTTCTGTACATGTTAGATGAAGAAGGGAGTCATCTTGTGGGATGAAAATGGGTGAGTCAACAGCAAGAGGAGCCGAGAACATGGATCTGGCCGGGTGGATGGACAGAGGGGTATCGTCCGAGGTCAAGTTCTTTTTGTTGCCTCACTTGACCTTGTCGTGTACCAATTATAGATCTGTCTGCTGTTCATGGTCACTTGCATGAAAGACTGAGAAGATGGTAGGAGTAGCGGGCAGGGGTTAGGGTAGAGGGATTTGAACTTACCAACGTAGGTTCGAAACAGCAGGCTACATGGAAAATCAGCATTATGCGAAAATGGAGGATGACTACATAAGATCACAGAATAGAGGAGGATCTCATCATGATATAACTGCTAAATCACACCGTTAAGCAACGACCAAACAGCGTCACTACGTAACTGCCAGACCACTGAGAATCATAGGCCAGCAAGGTGGACATATAACCAGCACAGTGTGTTTCTCTGGCGTCTCACAGTGGCCTTCCTCACTGCCAGATGGATGTCATCCACGTGCAAAATAGTCAGTGGATTGGCTACTGTTGATGTCAACACCAGCTGTTAGCGAGCTGGTTAAGAAGTGGAGTCCTGGTGGGGTAGTGGTTATGCGTTGGGCTTTGATCCGCAAATGAGTGGTTCCAAACCACCAGCTGCTCCATGAGACAAAGACAGGCCTCTCTACTCCTGTCAGGAGTTACAGTCTCAGAACCTCAGTGGGGCAGTTCTATTCTATCCCATAGGATCGCTCTGAGTCGCACTGCCACAATGACATGAGTGAGTGAGTGAGTGAGGGGTATTAGCTACCCAGTCTGTTTTGAATGTGTGTTATGCATGCTATATCATACCGACACATTTCACATTTGATTAACAGAGGAACAGGGAGGAATTATATGCAGGTAAATGAAAAAGTCTTGCTTTTAGGGGTCCAGTACATAGATGCCTGGGTTTATTCAAAACACAATGTGTTTATACATGACTCTGATTGGTAACTAGCCAAAGACCAGTTCTCTCTGTAATACACTTGTCTTAGGGGGCCTTCAGGGGGAAAAAGGAGACTTTTATTGGTGCAATTAGGAAAATAAAGCAACTTTGAGGTCTGTGCTAATATGAAAATTTTAACAAGACTCAAGTAGACATCAGCTCACACCATTGACATTTCACAACCATTTTAAGGGAATGCTGTCCCACACAGCACAGAGTTTCAGATAGATCATGTATCTTAAAGAAAATCAGAAAGACCGCAAAGATGAGCCAAAGAAGGAATAACTTCAACCTTGAAGAGTGAAGAAGCTGCAGTTGAAGCCCAGACATTGGTAGAAGAAGAACGGAGATTTTCATTGATGGACCACCTAGATGGTCGGCTCTGACGTGGTTGGCTATTTTTAATTTTAAATGATGACCTTTGTCTCAGGAACCATTCAGCTCAATGGGTACCCTAAGCATCTTTTCAGGAAGCTCAAAGCTAATGAACATGGTTTCATGGACTGCTTGTCACTGGGGCTTGGCCTGGGACTCAGCAAGACAAGGGCCAGTGAAAACAGAGGCTTCGGGGGAGATCTGTTGGGCCAGGTCAATTTAAGGCAGCGAGGTCGGCTCAGAAGAAGGTGGAAATTGTTTCCTGAGATTTCACACGGGGTAATCTTGATCGAGTTTCCTCAAAAGACACAGGATGATCCCAGGAGCTTGTTAGGAAGAAATTTTAAGGAAACAGAAATATGCAATTGGAGAGTCAAAGGCTAGGGAAAAATCGCACCGACGAATTTTTTCCATCACAACAACTCATTCTT